TATGAATAAATTATTGAATCAATCAAAGTAATTATAAACCATTTTAAGAAAGGGAATTGCCTGAACAGTTTGCTATATTAGAAAAATCACATTTGCAGTAGTGGAGGGAAAGAATTGAAGATCCCAAAGACCCATCTTTTTCTTTAGGATGGTTTACATTTTATATTAATAATTTTATAGTAACCATAGGGTCCCCCTTTCCTTTATTAAAGCTTCTATTTTATTAGCTGGTTAACCATAAAGTCTTTTATCAGACCCTTCTCTCTCTTTCTCTCTTTTCTCATTTTCAAAGCAAAAATAAAATGTACATTTTCTTACATTTGTGTATATTTCGAATAGCATCTTTGAAATTAAAAGCAAAGGAAACAGGATTGAGAAGCGGAAGTCATGATGCAGAGCTGACGAATGTTCCTGCCACTGTAAACAGGAGCTCCAGAGGATACGGCTGCCTAATGAGCCATGTCCTATGCTGGGTGGAAATAGTTGGGCCCTGTCCATCGACTCTGCTTGGTCCTCCATTGTTCCTGTGTTTCAAAACTGAGGAAGAACCTGGACCAGTTAGCAGGTGGAGGCTACTAGTAGACTACATTCAGGGGGAAAGCATTCTTATTCTTTTAATGAAGAAAACTTCACATTGATACCAAAACTTGATAAAGACAGCACAGTGAAGATTAGAAATCCATCTCACTTAGGAAAATCGATTCCAAAATATTTCTCATAAGTGGGAGTTGAACAATGAGAACACATGGACACAGGGAGGGGAACATCACACACTGGGGCCTGTCAGGGGGTGGGGGACTAGGGGAGGGACAGCATTAGGAAAAATACCTAACGTAGATGGCGGGTTGATGGGTGCAGCAAATCACCATGGCACATGTATACCTATGTAACAAACCTGCACTTCTGCACATGTATCCCAGAACTTAAAATACAAAAATAGTAAAAAAATTTAAAAAAATTGCCAAAGTAAAAACATGATGCATTTGACCATGTGGGAATAATTTCGGGCCAGAATGTTTCAATATTCAGAAATGCGTTAATATAATTTGCCATACTTTTAGGACTAAGGAGGACAATTATATGATTATATCCATTGAAACAGGAAAGGCATTAGACAAAATTCAACACTCATTTTTGATAATAAATAAGAAATTATTTGTATATGGCATAAATATAATAAATAAAACCAAGTATAATTGCGGTGGCCGGACAAGTTGGTGTAAGTGCTTAAGAAAACTGTGTGACAAGAAAATTCCATCCCAATATACAGCATTAACATACACGTACATTTTCCTCTCATTTTCAAACCAGAAATAAAATGTGCATAAGAGCAATATTCTTAATGGCCCCAGCCTGCAAACCACAAAAATGTCATCAACGATGAAATGAAATAAAATAGCAATTGAAGTATTTTGCAGAATTGAAAAAACAGTTTTTGCTACTAATAAGAAGAATATATTTCAAAGAACTAAAGTTGAACAAAGAAAGCTAGACATAAAGAGCACATATTTTGTGATTCTATTTATATAAAATTTGAAAAGTACATGGAAGTAACTTATACTGATAACCATTAAATCTGTGAGTGTATCTGAGAAAAGTAATAACTGAGAAGAGTAACAAGTGGGAGGCTTGTGAGGTGCAGGCACTCTTCTAGGTTTTAATCTGGGTTGTGTTACCTAAGCATATTCAGATTTTTAAAAGTCATCAAGCTGTATATTAATATTTATGCATTTTGGTATATGTATGTTATACTTTAATAACAAGCATAAAATGAATAGTGACAGCAATGAATCATAATATATTAAATAAAAGAAAGAATTCATGGGGTCACAGCAATATCCAACAACAAAAAGGAGAAGAGGGAGAACTTTCATACGTAGAAGAATGCAATATAATAAATGTAGAAGTGATGAGAGAATAAGAAAACCTCAGGCTTTCAAAAACCATGTAATAATTGATGTAGGCATGTAGTTAGTACTCCATAACAGGCAATTATTTTCTTAAAACACTTTTGTTCGGTTTTTATTGTCTTCACGCAATCGGAGAGGATGCAAACCTGTCTCCTGAGACCTAGATAAACATTAATAGTTTGCCTGCCTGGCTGAGTCAGGGTCCCAGCAGAGTCCCCCGTGGAGTCCAGCTAAGACAATCAGTTCCTGATGTCTAACACTCTATGACCAGCTGGGTGCCAGGCAATTAGTGGTAAAGACAACATATAATGTTAAATTTAGAATACATTTTAGAGTAAGAGTAAGCTCTAAAATAATTATAATTATATAATTTAAAAATAGTTATTTACTATACTAGTCCATTTTCACACTTCTGTAAAGATACTACCTGAGACTGGGTAATTAATAAAGGAAAGAGGTTTAATTAACTCACAGTTCCATATGGCTGGGGAGCCCTCAAGAAACTGATAATCATGGCAGAAGGCAAAAGGGAAGCAAGGCACATCTTACATGGCAGCAGGAGAGAGTGAGAGCAAGAAGGGGGAAGTGCCAGACACTTATCAAACAGCCAGATCTTGTGAGAACTCTCTATTACAAGAACAGCATGGGAGAAGTCGTCCCCATGATCCAATCACTGCTCACCAACTATATCCCTCTATACATGAGGAGTACAATTCAAGATGGGATTTGGGTGGGGACCCAAAGCCAAACCATATAATTACTGACCAATCAATTCTTATGAGTGGATCTATAGAATAGTTCCACTGAAAAATCATTTTCAAAAATAATGTTTCTTATAAGACATAAAAATTAGATACATTTATAGTTATAAATGTTCTTATATTTTTAAAAATTAAAATATGCAATGGTTTATTGAGTATTAAAACTCAAACAGCAGATTTATTCTTGGTATATTCTCACATATTTTAATAAACTTACTATATCTCTCTTTAATACTTTTACACTGTTATTTTTTGAAAATAATGTGTGCTATTCAGTATGGATATATTATACTTATTTTTAAAATAAAATTTTCTGCAACATTCTACAAAGATATATTTTATGGCTAATACATTTCAAATTCTTAACAGCTTAAAAAGCATAGAAATACAAGATGAAATTGTACTGAATCCAGAAATTGCCTGCAAATTACATCTGTCACTTAAATATACATCTAATATAGGAAATTATTTAGTTACATTGTTTTGTCTTCCCTCATTGTCTGCCACAGAAAACACTAAAAGTACAGTAGTCCCCTCATATCCAAAGTTTTACTTTCATCAGTTTCAGTTACCAACACTCAACTGTGGTCCAAAAATATTAAATTGAAAATTCCAGAAATAATACATAAGTTGTAAATTTTGTACCATTCTGAACAGCACAATGAAATCTTGAGTTGTCCCACTCAGTCTTACCTGGGATGTGAATTCTCACTTTGTCAGGTAGATGCACACTGCATCCACTTGACAAACCTTAATCACTTAGGAGCCATCTTGGTTATCAGATTTCCTGACACGAGATTGCAGTGCTTGTGACCAAGGAATCTTTATTTACCTTCATAGTGGCCTCAAAGTGCACAAATGTAAAACACTATCTTAACAGGCAGTGTGGTCACCCTAGTATTCACAGGCACATTTCAAAAAGTGTTTATTACCATCTTCACTATTAAATAATTGCATACCTCTGTAAAGAAAATTTTAAACAGATCATTTCATTCCTATTATCTTTAGTGTTTCTGGTGAAACCAAGGGATATCCTATATGGCCAGATGACTTTAAAATGTATGTAATTATCCTCATATAAAAATGTACCTATATTTAAAAGTAGCATTAGTGAAATGTCATCATGAGTGTCATTTTTCTCCACATGGTTTTCCTCTGATCCTTTTGTGGTTTCCTTCATTTTTCCAGCAGCATATTTCAATGTGGCGTGCATCATCATTTTTTCTGCCATGCCTGTTTAACTGCCCTTATGTAGCATTTACTTTTCATAAATGCCTCTATGGCTTTGTGCCAGCGAAAATAAAAAACTAAAAGTGCTAAAGCAACATAGTGCAGTGCAATTCACTCGGGCTTGGGTGTCAGACAGGTGAATCTGTGTTTATTATATAAGGTCTTTAAAGTATATGGAAATTGCAGGTCAAATTGCAGGCCTTCCACTTACTCACTGAGGAACTACATCCATAAAATGTGAATAATAAAGGGTGAGGGTTAATGTACCTAGCAGATGCTTACTAAATAGCGGCTATTATTATTTTCATCATTACCATCCCTAGAGTATAACCCAAAGGAAGTCATGCATAAACACATCGGTGACCTGACTCAGTGGAATTCACATTGCTGACTTGACTCAATGCTTGGCTTATTTCTAATAAAACGGTAATGCTAGCTATGGAGCACCTCTTGTCATCTGGAAAATATACCCGAAAAGCACAGATGAAAGGAGGAAGCATGAGGCCAGCCCACTTATTTTTATTGCCGCATTTAGTCACTAGGCTGAATGATAGGAAAGCAGAAGCTAAAACACAGTAAAATCAAACAAAAGACAAGACCTAATTGAGGAATTAAAGGACTTCTACTGCAGAGAAAGAGCTTGGGTTTAAAACAAATCATTAGCTGTTTTTGAGTGTATTTCTTGATTATTTAGGACGTCAACATCTCTGAGAAAGCAAAGCAAAGGTTGTCAGCCAGAACACAAGTTGGGCTTATTTAAAAGAAAGAAAGACTTTCATCAAGTAAAGTTTCCATAACCACCTATTTTAAAATGCTGTAAAATGTCATAACTCAGATTAAAAAAAGAATAATGTATCATATTGGAAAGGTTTTTTTTTTTCCCAATTTTGTGTCATCTTTTGTAGGGGAAAAGGCCATATCTCTCCTGCAAAAAAAAAAAAAAAAAAAAAAAAAAAACAAACAAACAAAAAAAAACTGGCCAAAGGCATATGAACCCTGTTCCATATTGCTGTAGCATGGTATATGAAATTCATGGGCTTGAACAAGTGAATAAATATTCATCACCTCTGCCTTTTTTTTTTTTTTTTTTTTTTTTTAGGTGCCTCCTATACTGCTTGATAAGCAGTTCTCTGAATTCACTCCGGACATTACACCAATCATTTTGGCAGCCCATACAAACAATTATGAGATAATAAAACTCCTGGTTCAGAAAGGAGTCTCGGTGCCTCGACCGCACGAGGTCCGCTGTAACTGTGTGGAATGCGTGTCCAGTTCAGATGTGGACAGCCTCCGTCACTCCCGCTCCAGACTCAACATCTACAAGGCCTTGGCCAGTCCCTCTCTCATTGCACTGTCAAGCGAAGATCCTTTTCTCACAGCCTTTCAGTTAAGTTGGGAGCTTCAGGAACTGAGCAAGGTGGAAAATGAATTCAAGTCGGAGTATGAAGAGCTGTCACGGCAGTGCAAACAATTTGCTAAGGACCTACTGGATCAGACAAGAAGTTCCAGAGAACTGGAAATCATTCTTAATTACCGAGATGACAATAGTCTCATAGAAGAACAAAGTGGAAATGATCTTGCAAGACTAAAGTTGGCCATTAAGTACCGTCAAAAAGAGGTGAGTGTTGCCAGACTTGATCCATCAAAATGCCATAGAATTTAATCACACACAGTGAAGCAAACTGCTACTCACAAAATTAGTTTTGAGTTTTAGAGCATTTTCTATTCAGCTGTAAGTGGATGACATTTATTGTCTGCTGGATTAATAATTATGAATCACATTGAAGAGTGGTAATAAATTGTTTAATAATTGATGTTTTTGGCCTCTGTGTTAAAATGTACACATTGAGTACGGTATAATGGAAAAGCTAATGAATTTTAGTATGTCCAGACTGAGATTTCTGTCTCTGCTATTTATAAGTCTTGTAACTTTAGAGGGTCACAGATAGATTTCCTTAAGCTTCAGTATTCTCACCTGCTTAATGGATTTAATATATATATATATATATATATATATGATTCAGCCCTCTGTATCAGCAGGTTCTGCATCCTTGGGTTCAATCAAATGTGGATGGAAAGTGCAGCATTCATAGGATGTGGCACCTTCATATATGGAAGGCTGATTTTTTCCTATCTATGGATCCTGTAGGGCCAACTGCTGCAGGGCTAGAGCAGCCATGGATTTTGGTATCTGCATGAGGTCCTGGAACCAATCCCCCACAGGTGCTTGGTGACAGCTGTATACATAGACAACATTTTCCTCATAGGTTTTTAGGAAGTGTGAAATATGTGGATGTATGAAGACTCTTAGTAAATTATATAGTATTGTTTTATTTATATCAATAAATACATTATTATAAATTCTTAATAAAATAAAATACTTTAGTACAATAGCAGATATAAGTACTAAAACTTTTCTCATGTCTTGCTCAGTTTTTTGATTTGTCAGGAATAAGAAACCAAATAAGTTCATTGCAAGGGAGTAATAAATTTATTGTAAAATGTCCATAAATTAAAAATGCTATATTAAATAACGTAATCTCATACCTCTTAACCTTAATCGCCCAGCATAATTGCTTTGTGTTTGAGTGAGTTCTCAAAAGACTGTTTACTTCTATCTGAAGAAAATATTGGTTCTCTGTTCACCCTTAAATGATAGCAATTTTCTATTCCAGAACAATACTTGGAAATGCTATGTAAGATGAAAAACGAAAGAGAAAAAGTAAAAGACTTCTAAATTGTAAAATGCACTCAGTTTCTCTTGAATTTGGCCTTGATGATCCCATGTAAGCCCTGGCTACTTTGTCTGTTGCTACTCACTAAATACTCAAGGCTCAAGATGCCTGAATTTGCTTTCTCAATTTTTTCCTCTAGTTATGTGATTAGTTAAGCTGATCTGGTTGTTATGGGAGCCAGAAATAAGATGAAATGAACTTTTTTCTTAATAGTGAAGTGAACAGCTTCTTTTGTGTCCGTTCCCTCTAACTCTAAAATCACCTTTGCTATTTTGAGTCCATGTCAGCAGTATTAACTCAGTTTCTTAGGTTTTTATGTTTTAGACTCAGAGATCTAACATTTTAAATGAACTAGAATAATTTTACTTCACAACGATAAGCTACATTGATGAAAGATGTTCAAAGTGGTAAATGGGAAGATAAGAAGTCATTATAGACTTTAGACTTGAACGATATTGAGATATTAATGTGGCCTGAATCTTCTTAAAGGTCCATATTAGCACAGTAGTATGCTTTGCTTTCTTTAATTTTTCTTTGGAGAAGGGGTTTAAAGAATCGACACGATGATTGCAAAGATTTTCTCTTATGCCATAGCTGTTAGTGTTAACATTATCCTACAAACGTTGAATGGAATAAAGTTCCCAAGATGTGCAATTCATGAAATGAAACAGAAAACCCAGAATCAGCCTGCTCTGCTCACCTGTTGCTCTTTAGGTCTCTCTGCAGCCAGTGAATGAACTCAGATTTATTTTTTGCCTGCACTCATTTTGATCATGCCATCAGAGCTGATTTAACGTCATCTTTGGCCACAATAACTTTTGTGAAAGCCTGGGAACAAAATACTCATAAACTCCTTTACCATATCCTCATAACAGAATGCTGTCAATGATATTACATTAACTGGCGCTGCCAAATTCCTGTCAAAGAGTTGTTCGAGATAGAAATTGTAATTTGAATTTCTTGCATATTTATATTTTTAACTAAAAAGCATTTAGTACACTTTGGTCATGTATTAATTTCCTTAATAACTCTTTCAACATGTATTTCACAGAACACATTCCAGGCAACGCACGGGGCACTTGGGATTCCCTGGTGTCAGGTCTCTGCTCTCATACAGCTTATAGTCTATTAGGAGAGACAATAAAACATTGAATATATGTTCTTCATTTTGTTCCTGAACCACTAAAAATGTTCTTCCTTTCTGAACATGTTTTCTTTGCCTATGTTCTTCTGTATAAGTATAAAAAGTGCATTCAATGTCAAAACCTATGAAAAAGCCATAACTCTAATCCCATCTTCAGTATGTAAGAAGCAAAGCAATGCAAGACATTTGATAATTTCTAACACTTCTCTCAAGATGTTTGTATTCTTGCTAATATGGAGTTATGGAAGGGTGATAGAGCCTAATAACACAAGATAAAAGAGAGCAAAAAACATCTAGCATGTAACAAAAAAATAAGAATTAGTACTATTTTTTAAAAGATAATTTTCTTCTAGATATGGTGTCTTGCTATGCTGCCCAGGCTGATCTGAAACTCCTGGGTTCAAGCAATCCTCCCCAAAAGATACAATTTTAAAAGACATTGTATGGTATTTTTTTCCTTTCAAAATGTTTTGAGATTTCAATGGAGAAAAAAATGAAAATGAAATCTTACACAGTTGTTCTGGAGTATCTTGCGTTTACTTTCAAAGAGCATGTTTTTCTCAGATTGATGATTTTCCCAAAGCAAAGTAACATTGGATAACTGATAGCATAATTTAAAAAATTCAGGAATAACATTTTACTTTCATATATACCTTTTAAAATCATAAGTTGTATTTTACAGCATGTATTCTTAGGTTATTCAGAAATTATTAAATTCAAATATTAAAGGTTTTCTAGTAAGATCATGTGCCTTAAAGAAAACTCTGCTTTAGCATGTCTTGCTTCATATCTTTCTTACCAAAAGTTTTCCTTGATTTGGTCTAAACAAGTCTGAGGTTTGTCTTTAGTCCATCTCTCAGGATTTGGAATGCTTTCTCATTAACCTTCATTCACATAGCTAAGTCCTGCACACTTTTTAAAGATCATCTCACGTCTTGTCTCACCCCAGGAGCATTCTATGAAGCAAACCCCTCCGTAGACTCTCTTGGATAAATGTCCTCATTATACACACCCTAAATTGCATTGTGTTATTACTTTTCCATCTCCTCCTCTAGGCGGTGTCAGGAACACATCCATCTTACTCACCAGTCATACTGTAGCCCCTGACATACAGAAGGTGCTAGGTGATGAATGCACCTGAATGAAGTCACGGATGCTCTTAGATCTGGATGGTTCTCTGCATGTTTCTTTGCCTGAATAAATTGCACTGTTTAGTTTAATCTCCTAATAACAGTTTCCTTATGAATCAACATATTAAAACAATTAATGTTGCCAGGATCTGATTGCAGACTTGTTCTGGCACTTCTCTAATTTCATCCAAAGGGAAAGCTCTGTGTTAATTGCATGCCATAGATATTTTTACATTTTCATTTTATATATTCTTTCTAAGCAGTAGCATCATAGAAAGAAGAATTTTATTATTTCTATTAATTCTAGGCTAATGATGCTGTAATTGTATTGATCATATATTAGTAGAACAAACATCATGTATCAATTCAAATGAATGTATTTTAGCAACTGGGTTAAGTTGTTTGCATTGTTTATTATATTAAACCTCCAAATACACTTCTGAAGTATGAACTATTTGTTGTTGGTTTTTTCATGAAAAAGTCAGAGTCACAGAGGGTTATATAATGTGCAGTGTTACTCTGTTAAATATTGGGGCCAGATTGCAAATCCAGATCTTAACTACAAAAACTTTGCTCTAACCATCACACCATATTGCCTCCACCCAGACATCATCCTACCGAACACTGGGTAAACCTGAGAAAACTGAAGCTACTAGCCTAGTTTCGTTGAGCACATGAATTTATTTTATGACTCAGCTCCCCTGTAATGAAAGCTTTGCATTTCAATGTGAAGTTTTCTTTGTTTTCACATTGTGATGAAGGACTTGATTTCTTCAGAGAGTGTGAAGCCTGCTTTTCCTTTCTTTCTTACTCCACTTTTATGTTTCCATGTCAAACAAAAATCTTTCAAGTACCATTCTGCGATGGGACAGGTTTAAGGTTTAAGGTTGCTCCCTTGACCAAGCACTCCCATCCCAATGTCAATCATCTAAATGAATAATATCAAAGGAAGCTGGAAACAAAAAGCATGTACTCATACCCTTAAAACTGATTCTTCCCCTGAGTGTAACATAAAGGCGAGGTATGACTGAGGACATGTCTTAGACAAAGAACTTGTCCTTTGGATTCTGGCATGATTTTTGCAGATGCAGAGTCTGTGGCAGTTAAAATTACTTTCATGTAGTCATTCCTCTTGCCTAATATTTGTAAGATTACTAAAGGTGAATGGGAAGCTTAATGCACTTCTTAACTATTTTTTACAGCAAAGACCTTCCCTAGTTTTAAGTACACGATTCACAATATTGTGAAGTAACTAATTAAGAGGCAGAGTAGCCTAGATGTTGAATAACAATAAAAGAAAGGAAATACATTATTCTGTCTAAAAACATTACAATTCAAACTCTCTATAGCGTTTCAAATTTAAGTGAAAAGTAATCTCTACACAGTAAATAGTATAAGATATATATATGTATATATGTGTATATGTGTGTGTATATATGTGTGTGTATATATACATATATACATATACATATATACACATATACATACATATATACATACATACACACATATATATATAGTCTTTCCCTTTCATGAAGGTGTTTCAGCAGCTTTGCAACATTAGCTTAAACTTTGGAACTAATCTGGGTTTTGTCCCATACATTAATGG